ATGCAGAAAAAGCATTCGACAAGATCCAACACCCCTTTATGATGAAGGTTTTGGAAAAATTAGGAATCCATGGAACATTCCTCAATACAATAAAGGTTGTATATGACAAACCTACAGCCAGCATTATACTCAATGGTGAAAAACTAAAGCCATTTCCTCTTAACTCAGGAACAAGACAAGGATGCCCACTCTCTCCACTTCTCTTCAATCTAGTATTAGAATGCCTAGCTACAGCAATAAGACAAGATGCAGACATAAAGGGGATCCAAATAGGGAAAGAAGAAATAAAACTCTCCCTCTTTGCAGATGACATGATCTTGTATTTAAAGAATCCCATAGACTCCACTCCCAAATTACTCAAGCTGATTCAAAACTTGGCAAATTAGCAGGTTATAAAATTAACCCCCAAAAATCAATGGCTTTTCTGTATGCCAACAATGAGAAAAGTGTGGCTGAAATTAGGAAAGCAACTCCATTTGTAATAGCTCCACAAAAAATAAAATACCTAGGAATTAACTTAACTAAAGAAGTGAAGGACCTCTATGATGAAAACTTTAAAATCTTGAAAAAGGAAATCAACACAGAACTTACAAAATGGCAAAACCTCCCATGCTCCTGGATTGGAAGGATTAACATCGTGAGAATGGCAATACTTCCCAAGGCTATCTACAAATTCAACGCAATACCTATCAAAATTCCTACCTCATTCTTCAAGGAAATAGAAGAGGCAATCCAAAAATTCATATGGAACAATAAAAGATTCCGAATAGCTAAAACGCTCCTCAATGGAAAGAACACTGCTGGAGGAATATCAATACCAAATTTCAAACTCTACTATAAAGCCATAGTAATCAAAACAGCTTGGTATTGGCATAAGAACAGACCTCAGGACCAATGGAATAGAATTGAAAACCCAGAAATGAACCTACAGACCAATAGCCATCTAATCTTCGATAAGGGAGCTAAAACAATACAATGGAAGAAAGACAGCCTCTTCAGTAAATGGTGCTGGCAAAATTGGTGAACTACATGTAGAAAACTAAAGCTAGATCCATATATATCACCCTGCACTAGAATCAACTCCAAATGGATCAAAGACCTTGAACTCAAAGCAGACACTCTGAAAACATTACAGGATGGAATAGGAGAAACCCTAGGTCTCCTTGGCTCAGGCCGAAATTTTCTGAATAGAGACCCGGAAACACAACAAATCAAAGCAAGGTTGGACAAATGGGATTGCATAAGGTTGCAGAGCTTCTGCAGGGCAAATGACATAGCTAGCAAGATCAATAGAAAGCCCACGGATTGGGAGAAGATCTTTACTAGCCATACAACGGACAAGGGTCTCATATCTAAAATATACTTGGAACTCAGAAAAAAACCTTCTGGTTTTCTAGTGGTTTATTGGAGAAAAGAGTCTCCCGGGCTTTCCTGCTGGGTTGGCTTTGAACCGCGATTCTCAGATCTCAGCCTCCTGAGTAGCTAGGATTACAGGTGTGAGCCACGGGCACCCGGTGAAAAGAAACTATTCTACTTTACCTTAATTTATTTGGATTTATCAGAGCATAAAAATGTTGAGAGAAAAGAAATGAACTCCAACTCACTCTATTCTTCTATCACAGGCCAGGGAAATACTCACCAACACTTCCACTTAGTCATGTGGTCTCTTCCTTTAGGAGGAAAGGAAGAACTTGAGAAGAAATAGTAAAGACCATAGTCTGAGAGTAGAATTACACTTAAAAGATAAAAGCCAAGCTATGAGTGGAAAACTTCAGTGAAACAGATTTCTTATCTGACCATATCAAACCTTTTTTAGACCTGTTGCTGTTGTGTCACATCTCCTATCCTAGCTACTCCAGAGAATGAAGTCTGAGGATCAACATTTGAAGGCAGGCCAGGCAGAAAAGACCATAAATATCTTATCTCCAATTAACTGGAAAATAGGTAGAAAAAAAGTTGTGGTTGAGCTGACAGATTGGCAAGCCAAGAGTGAAATCCCTGACTTCATGCACCATTAAAGGCAGAAAAAGAACCATTTTGGGAAGACATTTATTTTATTCATTACACCACATATTAATTACAATGCATATTCAAAAATTAAAACTAACAGTGAGAGGAAAGGGTAATCATCTCAATCAAATAAATCTGTTGCAAAAAATGTTAGCATACCATTAGCAATTTACACCATTATTGTGTCAAAAGATAGATAGATAGATAGAAAGACAAATAGCTAGATAGGCTAGAAGTGTTAATTTAAAACACACAATTTGTACAGACATGATTAAAGTAAACAGAGAGGTTATAATTATAAATATTTCAAAGAAAATACTAGAAATAAAAAGATAAATCTAATGAACAGTAATGTTGCTTTGACTAAAAACATTGGTAGATTTAACATAGCTGAGTAGTCTGGACAGTTATGATATGATGTTAAAATATTTGATAAGTGGCATGATACCCTATTTTGAATATGATAATACATTCATAAATCTTCATTTTTAAATTTTATTTTATTGTCCAGTTGATGTACAGAGGGGTTACAGTTACATAAATATGATCGTGAGTACATTTTTTGTCAAACTTGTTATGCCATCCCTCATTTTCCTCCCAATTTCCCTCCCTCCCACTCTCCACCCCCAAAGTTGTACAGTTCATTTCCACCATATTGTCTTGTGAGTATTGCTGTTTCATTAGTTTGCCTTTGTCTTTTGTCTCACCATTTTGTTGTTCCCTAATTTAGATAAAATGTATATACAATACCCAGGATACCAAAATCAAATACAATGACCACAGGGAATAAACCATAGAGGGAAAAGTACAAAAGAAAAAAGAAATCTCATAGTACATTAAAAACAACAAAGATCTCTTGTTTACATATGTTGGAGTTCATTTTGCTTAGCATCATCTTATATGGTCATATGTACATAGCTATTGAGCTATTGTGGTCCTCTTCTGAGGGGACTATCCTAGATATATATAAACTATTAAAAATGAGGGAAAATGTGGGATTTATGTTTTTTTATATCTGGCTTACTTCACTTAATATGATTGTTTTCTGTCTTTCCATTTCATTACTTAGGAGGAGATCTTCACTAGCCATACAACAGACAAGGACTTCATATTTAAAATAAACAGAACTCAAAAAACTAAATCCCCCAAAACCAAATCCCCAAAGAAATAACTGCACATTAATAAATAGGCTAAAGATTTAAAGAAATACTTCTCTGAAGAGGAAATAAGCATGGCAAATAGACATATCAAGAAATTCTCAACATATCTGGCTATAAAAGAAATGCAAATCAAAACAACATTGTGATTCCACCTCACCCAAACTAGAATCACCATTATCAAGAAATCTAATAACAACAGATGCTATCTGGGATTTGGTCAAAAGGGAATACTACTACACTGTTGGTGGGACTATAAACTTGTTCAACCACTCTGGAAAGCAATGTGGAGGTTCCTCAAAAGACTAAACATAGAGCTCAGTTTGACCTGGCAGTCCCACTCCTGGGCACTTACTCAAAACTGCAAACAAGGCCATACTGAAACTACAAGCACAACCATGCTTATTGCAACATTATTTACCATAGTTAAGATATAGAACCAACCCAGATGCCCCTCAGTAGATGAATGATTCAAGAAAATGTGGTATATACACATAATGGTATTCTATGCTTCCATCAGAAAGAATGGCATCACCCCTTACATTAATAAAACTTTCTAAAACAGAATTTAAAAGAAAAAGAGTAGAGAAGAATGGAATAGAATGTGCAAAAATTTGACCTAAGTATAAAATATGTGAAAGTTGGACTGGAAATTCTGGAAACAGAATAAACTGAAAAAAAGAGTAAGAAATATATTTTAAATAATAGTGGCTGGAAATTTCTCAAAAAAGGAATAATAGACATGAAAGCATAGGTCTAGAAACTCAGGGAAAAAGACAACAGTATGCATGCAAGCAAATATTCCACTCAGAGACTGAGCCCTTGAAAACATGTTTGGGGCTGTGAAAAATGGTGGACTTTCTGTACTGAGTCTACAAGTATACTTTGTTACCCTACCTTTTGTTGGGGCTCCAAAGAGCATCAGGGAACTTGAGGTACAGCTAAGCTCAGTGCAGACCCAAATCTGACAGCACATTGAAGAAGTTGGTACAGAGAATAGTCAGGTAAAGGTAACACTGATTTTATGGGAGCAGGAAAAATAGGTCTTTTCCAACACTACATTTATACAATCTTCAAGTACTTTTTCTACCACTTTTTATTCTATCTTGTTTCTTCCAGGGGGCAAGCATATATTTATGTATTACTGAATATGTACTATGGTACATTTTCTAAGGTTTTATGTGCTGTTCATTTCTTCTACTTGTCTTATTAATTTGGACTGTCTTTGAATTGGTAATTATTTCTAGAGGGGCAAATCACAGTTGAGGGGAGCTTCCTCTTGCATAATGAAAGAAAGCCTACTATTGGATATTCTTTACAAACAGAATATATTTTTCTAATCTGAGAATTTCCATTTGATAATTTAAAATATCTGTCTCTGTTTAGTGTATTCCTCTTGATACAATATTCATGTTGTCATAAAAACTTTATTTTAATAGTCATTTTAACTTTGTATATACTTATAAAGCTTATAATGGATTGTTTGATGTCCTCTAAAAAACATTTTATATGTGATCATAACTAGAGACCATTTTTCCTGCTTGCCACCTTTCCTCCTTTTTCATGAGTCATGCTTATCTATTTATATGTCATGAAATTTTTATTTTTAAAAAGTTCCATATTTTAGAGAGAATATATTAGTAACATACATAAAGGAATTATACTGTTTGTCATTTACTTCTTAATTTATTTATTGATTCTTCTAGATTATTTCCACAAGAAATACTTTCCAGTTAAAATCTCTGTGTTATCATTTTAACAGGTACCAATTCCTAGTTAAAACCAATGTGTTCAGTCATAAGCAATTGTAGTTTTTTGAAAATAGGTATTTGGGTGTTCGCTTCGGCAGCACATATACTAAAATTGGAACGATACAGAGAAGATTAGCATGGCCCCTGTGCAAGGATGAAAATATGTATTTGGGAAACCTCATCAGTGAAAACTGTCCCCTTGAGTTATGGTTTTAAATATGAAGTGTTTCTCATGGGCTCATATATTAGGAACTTGTTTGTTGGCTAAATTATGTCTTGAAAAAAATAGGAATCTGAAAGCTCTGACTTCAGTCACTGGAATTATACACAATATGATAGCATTGTTAAGAAGTGATTAAGTATGTGGATCCTCGTGAAAGGAATTAGATTACAGGTGGGAGTTAATCTCTAGAAAAAAATGAATCTTTGTTCTCTGCCGTCTCTGTTTCTGGATCACTGTGGGATGAGTTGAACTGTTTCTTTCTCAAATCAAAGTTATTTAGGTGTAGCAATTGCTGACTGATTTTTCTGTTATGTTCAGCAATGCTCTATGACATAAATTGATCTGATTAAACTAATCAGATTGACACTACTGTATTTGAAGAAATAGTTGCTAAGACATTAGTTGTTAAAACATTTACTGCTTGTTAATACAACATATATATATATATTATTTTTTTTTCAGTCGTGGGGCTTGAACTCTGCGCCTGGAATCTCCTCATATATTGATGTGACATTTCTTTAGCACTATCTGAATTTAACAATAATTGTTATTGATATCTTGTGGTTGGCATCTTGTCTTTTTTCATGGTTCTTCAATATTCTTTCATGTATTTGTTGGACACTCTTTCTTAGTTAGCATTACATAATTTAAGCTCTAAAATTATGCTCTAATTTCTGATGAGCATTCATCATTATTCTTTTCCTGCTCAGTAGTTGTTCTGAATCATTAAACAAACCTAGGAACACATGGATAAGTACAGCTACAGATATTTTCCCAAATGACATTTCTCATCATATTATCTTGAAAGTGTTCATTTGGAGGGCAGTACCTTTTTTTTCTAAAATGATTGAATATTCTAGCTTGAATTTTTAAGGCATGTGACAAAGATTTAAAGTATTTTATATATTGGAATTATTTGATTTCCATCAGCTTATATAATTTTAAAGGATTTTCTTCTCTTTTTGTGTGAATTATTGTATATATACTCTATATTTGATGTTATATAAACAGTATGGTATTTATTACATTGTATTGAAACATATAATTAAATACTAACTTCCTATATGAACACAGTATAAATGATAATTGAAAAGTAATTCTTCCAATTGTAACATATGAAACAGCAATAGTGTGAGTTAACTATTACATTTTTAATATTAATGTTAAATATTTACAATCATGTTTGAGCAAAACTATATTATGGAGTATAAGCTATTACTTTTCATGAGAGATACTGATATATCAGAAATAGGGGAAGGAAAAAATTACAATTAATTTTAAAATAAATAATAATCAAACCAAAACGTCTCATTCAAATATTCATGTACAAGAATTCTTTGAGTACTTCTGCTATTGACTGCTAATATGTTTTAGATGACCTTCTTGAAAAAATAGTTATCTTCCTATGTTTGTTTGCTTGAAAGTTGCTTTCCATAATCTGTCTTCATCTGAATCCCTTTTTATATTACAATTTATTGATTATTTCACATTAACCTTATACAAAATAAGTGCCTCAATACTCTGTTGAAAGCAAGAAAAATGCGTTACTTTGTGATATTGAAATATTTAAAATATGGATGTAATAGTAGTAAATTCCAAATTGCATTTCATATATATATATGTGTGTGTGTATATATATATATATATATATGTATATGTGTGTGTGTGTGTGTGTGTGTGCCTTACTATCTTATTATTCTCCTTACTTGGGCTATTTGACATTTCCTATGCACATATGTTCATCTTTATTTTATTGCTGTATATCAAGTCTTAGGATAAGATGACATCATATATTTTGTATGTCGTTTTATTATTTGATTCTTCTTTATAAATATTAAATTTCTAGGGAATTACTCAAACTATATGGATGAAATACTATTAACATATTACTCATGGTATTTTCATAATGTGTGATAAACTGAAATGTTACCATGATTTCTAATATACATTCAAGTTTGTAGCATTTATGTAGAATAAAATGTATTTTTAAGTTGATATTTTATTGAACAAGTTAGTTGACCACTGTTTTTCCCAGATGTCAGCATCTTTCCCTGGGCTAGTCCATTTCATAAGGGCAACCGTCTCTTTGGACTGGGAGTTGCCCCCTACCCCCAATATCAGGGGCCAGTGTGCAAGCTTCCAGTCCAAGGTCACTTCCTCCTCCCTGAGTAAGGTTCGATCTGCCTCCAAGTCAATTAAGCAGCAAAACCTCTTTCTGCCCATGAGAATACTCATTTTAGGGCGGAGTCCTTCCACCAGGGGTATGGTCCCATGGGCCTGGGTAGTCCAGCCATGAGGCTGCCTGGGCCTCAGAGCAGAGGGGGTTCCTCCTTGAGAGCTAACGGGGCTGGAGGATGCCCCTCCCCTGGTTTAAAGACTTCCCATCTAAATCAAACTTGGATCAACAATCCTTTTTCCAATGGTATCCCTTCCTGCACCTGGGGCAGGGTTTAGGGGGTGGTTCCCCCCCCCCCAGGCTGGTTGGCAGGGGATTGTTGTAAACAGTCCCTCTTAAAATGCCCCTCCTGCCCACATTTAAAAAAAGTCTCTCTCCCTGATGCTCTTGGAGTTCTTTGGCTCTGGGCTGCCAGCACCGGGGTAATAGCCTCAGTCATTGCAGATGTCTGAGCCTGTAAAGCTAGAGCTAATGATTGGGACTGATGCTGTTGCATTCTCACGTCCTGTGAGGCCACCACCCTTCTGCCCAGGGAACTCTCTCTCAATTCCACGCAGGACGTGTGGTGGTCTGCATTCATCCCTTCCCAGACCAGCAGCTTTATAACTGATCTCAGAGGTTCCCTGTGGGCAGCATGCGGTTAATACTCTCTTGGACTCGGTCTACAAACTCAGCTAGAGGCTCACCAGGTTTTTGTCTTATTCCTGTTATGGGGGACTCAGTAGGCCCATCATCCAATTTGTACCACATGGCAAGTCCAGCCTGCCTCACCTGGTCATGGAGTACCCTTCCCCTGTCCCTGTTAACATGGAATAAGTAATAGGTATTGCAGGTTGAGCCTGCCGGTTATTCTCCGCCCACACTCTGCATTCCTCCTTAAAGAAAGCACACCATTTAATAAACTGAGAACTGGTGAGGACAGCTTTGGCCACATCCAGCCAGTCTTTAAGGACACATGGGATAAGCAATGTGCTGTAACAGGGTCTGGGTCCAAGGAGAGTTTGGGCCATCCTCCACCACCACCTTGTGGAGCTCTTTAAGATCCTTAGCTTCCCATGGATAACATTCCAAGGGCCTGTTAGCTCCTGGTGCCAGATTGACTGGATATGCTTGGGGAAGTGAATCCTGTGGCCTATGGTCCGGGCTCCCAGGTGGCACATCCCTTAAAGGGCAGGCTTCCAAGTAGGTTACTTCCCCAGCGCTCAGCCCCTCCGTGGAAGGCCGGTAGGGGTCCGGGTCTTGCAGGTCCCTCTGGCAGGTCACGTAGGGCACCATACTTTCCCCCCAGTCAGGGAACAGGGAGGGGGCCTAGGACCATCAGGGGCACCCAAATCAGAGGGGGTAAACTTCACCCTCATTTTGACTTCCACTGTGCATGTTTCAGTGCGTTCTTGGTCGAATTTGACCCATTCCTTTTCACTTCCCAAGTCCTCCTTTACTCCCTCTAGGCCTAATGTTGCCTCCTCCTTCTATGAAATAGCATTACCACTAAGGGTTTCACTTACCCTGAGAGACTGCTTAGCTTCGGCCGGTATATTTTCCTTTCGTGCCCCAAGTTGGGCTCCAGATGTTGGGTCTTATTCTGTCATAAAAGATGGACAAAAGATGGACAGGGTCCCAGGAAAGGTAAGTGCAGCTGCTGGCCCATTCTCCAGCCTCCCTTAGCCCGAGAGACAATCAGATGCAGAGGGGAGTCAAGTCAAGCAGGAAAACTCATTTATTAACACACAGCAAGCACTTTTTAAGACAAAAAAGACTGAGTGACATGGGAGGGGAGGAGAAGGAACCAATCATTGTAAAGTTTATTTTAAAAGGATTACAATGGTAAGAATAGCATTGGCCAAGCATGCAGGGGGGTCGAGGCAAGTCTGGGGGGAGAGATTCACCAGACAAGGATAGGAAGGGCCCTTGTGCATGATCCAAGCACCTCTCCCAGTTACCTCACAACCCCACCTAGCACAGTAATAAACATCAGCCCTGCTACAGTTAGAAATGCCGAAGCAGTTCAGTTAATTCCTGGACGTATATAAAAGTCAGTATCTGGTAAGGTCATCCTCTTCAGAACATAGGAGCAACCTGAGTATTGGGATTTCCACACACGCGGCATGGTACATCCTCATGGGCCCCCACACTCAGGCTGATCTACTATAGTCCAGAAAAACAAGGAAAATTTAAAACAAACTGCAGACATAACAAAGCAATCCTGGGTACCTGGTGTCTTTTAAGTAAGCCAATTCCTTGTATGTGCCTTTAAGCAAGCATAGGAGTCAAGATGACCTTTGAGCTTTACTGTCAGCTCCCAATGGCTCCCAACACCTAGCATGCTATGCTGTCATTTATATGTAATGTAACACATAACTCAAAAATAAAGGGCTGAGATGTAGCTCAGTGGCAAAGTGCTTGCCTAGCAAGTGAAATGTCCTGGGTTTGATTCTTAGTACCAAAAAGAAAAGACCAAAAAAATATAGTTATCACCGCCCTCACTCCCACCTCCTCTCAAAAAAATGACCCTTTAACTGGGCACTGGTGGTTCATGCCTGTAATCCTAGCTACTCAGGAGACTGAGGTCTGAGGATCACAGTTCAAAGCCAGACTGGGCAGGGAAGTCTGTGAGAGTCTTATCTCCAATTAACCATCAGAAAATTGGAAGAGAAACTGTGGCTCAAGTGGTAGAGTGATAGTATTGAGCTGAATTGCTGAAGGACAGAGCCCAGGCCCAGAGTTCATGCCCCATGACAGACAAAATAAATAAAAAAAGTATTTTTCTTTTAGAAAGAAAATGAGTTTAATG